CTTTTCCCATGTATTTTAGATAAGATTTTATCTTATTGGAAGTTAAGTTTTAAATTTAAATAATTAACTTTCATGTAAACTTTTCCAAACTGATTTTTACATCTATAAAATCTGGAGAATCATCTGAAAAACAAACATGCAAAAACTTGCATTAAACAGAGAAAAGTTAACAGATGCATTTTTTACAAGCAATTATTTTGAAGGAAATCAAGATACTTCACAGTCCTACAGTTCTACAGGAAATTCTCAAACAAAGCAACTTGAGAATTTCATTCATCTTCTTGTATCCCATAAGATTAAATCTTGAACCTTGTTGCTTTTATAGAGGGAGATTTAAAGCTTATAGAAAAGTGATTACACGCCTGAAGATATCAAATGATCTAGTTTTTGTTCCATGTTGTTTTCTGTATTTTGTTGTATTTCAAATGTACTACAGATTACAAGCATTTTTTCCAACATAACGCTCTTAGCTCCATTTGGAAGTAGCGAATTGATTTTAAGGAGGCAGAGCCATGGACGGAGCCAGGATTATAGGATGCGGGGGGCCAATAACAATTTAAGAGTAAACAATTAAATACATTAATAATCATTTAATATACTCAAAATAGATCATTACATTACAAATATACTAAAATTTAGAACGTCTCTCTTGCATATCACGAAAATCATCTATAATTGAATTTATACTAAATTGTTTTGCAATTTGCTTTTCAATGTACACTAACAAACAATCATTGAGAAATTGATCATCCATCTTGTTACGAAGTGTAATCTTGACTATTTTCATGGCAGAAAAAGATCGTTCTGTAGTAGCTGTAGATACGGGAAGCGTGAGAATGAGAGTTACTATTCTGAACACAAGAGGATATATGTCCAATTTTCTAGTTTTCACCATCCATTGACAGAGATCAGAAATACTTTCTAGTTCTCTAAAATCAGGAAGTTGTTGCACATGTTCAAAATGTTCAAGTTGCATTCTTAATTGCAAAATCTCATAATCTGCAAAGTCTTGTGGGTAAAACTTCTCTACCAACTTGCAAATGTCATCAATTCTGAATGATATACGCATTTCTTTTGGATCTAGGGTTGAACTCAGAACAATTAACTCCATGCTTTATCATCAAACCTATTGTTCAACTCTTGCAACTGAGAATCAATCACCGCATTAAAAATATCAACTTTGTAAAGATGTCCAACTGTTAATTCATCTTGTTGATTCCTAGCCCTTCCTCTTCTTGCAATATATTGAGCATCAAAATCTGGCACACTTATATTGACATTTTCACAAAAAGACTTCACACTTGAAACTAATTCATCCCATCCACTATCTCTTAATTTTTGAATAAGCAATTTAGTAGATGTCACAAGATGCATTGCATTCAATATATATATCTTGAGATTGGAGTTGCAGAGCTTGGCAAAGCATATTAGAAATCTCTAGAACTTTTCTCATGAGGTGCATAATGAATACAAATTCAAAAGAAGTCATTACCTCATAAGCTGCATCGGCATCTCCACGGTGAGTAGGTGTAGTTCCATCTTCAATAATATTAAGTATAAGTAAAACTTCACATGTTGCACTAAACATTCTCATCAAACTTGATATGGATTTCAAATGAGAGCTCCAACGAGTATCACCAGGCCTTTGTAAAGAACCAATTTGGTTAAGACCCCTCCCACTTTCAAGCTCATCGATACTAAGCAAATGAGCAATATTTGAGGCATGAGCAGCTTTCAACTAGTCATTGCGCTTACATGAAGCCCCAACAACATTAATAATGGAGTTCAACTTAGTGAAAAAGTGATGGACAGGGATGACTTCTTTTGATGAAGCTACTAATGCCAATTGCAATCGATGTGCAAAACAATGAACATAATAAGCATAAGGACATTTATCCAAGATTAAAGCTTTCAATTCATTCCACTCTCCACGCATGTTACTTGCACCATCATAACCTTGTCCTCGAATATTTTGAACATCAAGATTATGACGAGATAAGATAGAAAAGATACCTTCTTTCAATGTTGATGCAATAATGTCCTTAACATGAACAACTCCAAAGAATCGCTCTTGTATAAAGCCATCTCTATCAACAAATCTCAAGAAAATTGACATTTGTTCCTTCTTTGATTCATCTCGAGCTTCATCAACAATGATACAAAATTTTGCATCACCAATTTCTTCTCAGATAGCACTTTTTACTTTTAGTTGCCAACACTTGCAAAATTTGTTTTTGTATTGTTGGTGATGTATATGTTGCATTTCGTGGAGCTTTATCAAGAACTTTTGTTACTTCATCATTAAAAGATGCAATGAAACTCAATAACTCTAAAAAGTTTCCACGATTTGTTGATGTTATTGACTCATCATCACCTCTAAAAGAACATCCTTGAAATGCAAGCCATCTCGTTGCCTCAATTGAAGTTCTCAAGCGAAGTCTATTTTGAACTACTTCTTGAGATGTGAATTTCTCAATATGTTGTGCAATGTGTGATTATTGGTTCATGAGATCTGCGCAAGCTTTCTCGGCATTTCGATGAGGGGAGGTGAGATCTTTTCCAATATGTGCTAAAAATGAGCAATTTTTTCCATCTCTAACTTTCTTCCATGAACGAAAACCATTAGTAGTAAAAGCATGCAATCCGAAAGGCCCATCTTGAGTATGAAATAAATAACATGGTAGACAAAATGCTGCATCTTTACCTATGAGAATATTCTAACCAAGAAGGGAATAATTTAAACCAAGATGCTTGAAAACTACGAGGATGCTTTTCTCCAGATTTTGGATACTTTGAAAGCAAACATTGATATGGGCCGGCCTTGATATAGGCTCTCCTAACTTCATCACGTTTGTCAACGGGGCACATCCATATTGGTAGTCGCAATCCCGGATCACGTTCTAATGCTTGAATGTCAAACTTCTCATTTATTTCAATTCTTTGAGATTTTCCAGGACGACTTTCAGAATTCAATTGATCAACACTTGTAGATGGATTTACTTGAGATGATGAATCTTCAGAATTCTTTCTTTTAAAAAAAGTATCAATTTTTTGTGTCTTCTTCATTGTAGCTCAATCTTCCTATGTTCACAATTAATCACAATATTAATATTTTGGTAAGTCAATTAAAGATTTAAACTAACCAAGTCAATTAAACATTTAAACATATAAGTAATGACATAAAACAAATGAGGACATAGCACTTTAAGACTAGTAGGATACAAATATACAATATTTAAATTCATTGTTGTTTTAAATTCATTAGTATAGTATAATTCATTCAATTCATTTATTTAAATTATGTCTTCCACAACATCAGTTTCTATTTCTTTCTTCTCACTTCTGTTTTACATTTCGGTATTGTTTTTTTTTTTTTTTTTTTTTTTTTTTTTTTTTGCCAACCAAATTAAATTCATTTTTGTTGTTTGAAATTATTCTATTGTATAAGTATATAGACTATGGCATTGATATATTTAATCTGAATTCTCTATGTGTTTCTCCTACTCTACTAGTTTGATGTTAGCCATTAATGGAAGAAAACTAAAAGCATAAACTTAAAGAAAATTAAAGAAACTTTGAACATTGGAGTTAATAATAAATGTACTCTTCCACAAAATATATAATAATACAAATTTACAAAGTAATTATTTAAAGCTTTAAAACAAATGAATTTTTTTTTTTTACCATATTCATTGTTGAAGAGAAGAAGAATAGTAGATTGAAGAAGTCAAGAAGATGAAACCGGAGAGAAAGACAACATTTGTTGGGTACTTGGGATTTCAAAAGAAAAAAATATTAGTTTTGTGAGGCTCAATGGTACTACACTACTACTAGGCTATTACTACTCTACTAGGCTAGGAGGGGCAAATATTTTGGGGGAGGGGCCAAATATATATATGTTTATATATTATAATACTAAATACTAATTTTTTTTTTTTTTGGGGGGGGGGGGGGGGGGGGGGGGGGGGGAGGGGGTCAAGGCCCCCTGCACACAATATATAGTTCCGTCACTGGGCAGAGCAACTTGGATTTTCCGTTCTTCATTCTTTCTTCCAGTTGGGATCATTTTCAAAATTTTAATTTGAATCCATTTATTTATATATATTTTTAATATAAATTCATTTTATCGACTTATTCGTCCTTATATATACATGTTGTAATTGCTCAGATTAACTACAAATGCAACGACTCCTACATAAAGTGCAACAACTCCAACATTAAGTGAAACAAGCCTTGTATTATGTGTTTAGATTAATTTTAGCCTCTTGTCCGTTATTATAGATTAATCTTCTCCAAGCTTGCAAAAAACTTTATTTTTAATAGAGATTGGGTAGTAAGGTTTTGTCACATTTACAGAAAATAGAATAAGGTGGCAAATTAATTATATATCTAGCAAGACATTCACTACAAGAAAAATCGCGAATCGCGACGGAAAAATTCCGTCGCGAAACAGCAAAATTCCGTCGCGAATCACGTTTTGCGACGGAATCAGTTCCGTCGCCTATCGGCTTGTCGTATTTTTATACGCGACGGAATAATTCCGTCGCAAAATATGGCGACGGAATTGGCGACGGAATAAGGCGTCGCAAATTTACAACGGAATTTTTTCCGTCGCAATTCCGTCGCCAATTTGAAAACAAATATTCCGTTGCTATATTATTTTTTCCGTCGCATTTTGGCAACAGAATTGTTTTCTGTCGCGATTCCGTCTCATTTAGTGCAACAAATATTCCGTCGCAAAGCTTATATTCTATCGCGATTGCGTTGCATTTTTTAATTACTTTTAAACAAATGTATTTATAGTTATTATTTTTAAATAGTAATATGAGCTTTTAAAATATTAATATAAAATTATAATGACATACCAAAACAATTAATTCTAAAAAAATAACATAATTTTAAAATATTATCAATCCTCATTAAGTTCAAGTAATAATACATCATCAATCCACATTTAGTAACTAATAATAATCAATTCAAGTCTAAACAACAAAACAACAAAATGCGATACATGCAATGAAAATCTACCACCTATAACCAACAAATAGTAAACTAAAAAATAATATCCAATGCTCATTTATCCGATATAGCAGTCATTGTAGTAGTCAACCCTTTGAACTTAGGCAAAGACAAACCAATGCTAATATCCGATGTTTGGTCCTAGCCATAAACCAATGAAACATCACATATATCACCATAGCCAAACCAGTTTCTCAAATTTAATGAGCCTTCAAGTGACCAGCTTCTAGCCTACAAAAGAACTACAAAGCATTATCACAAAAGAATGGAAATTGCTAAGCCTGAATTTTAAGAGTAGCAAATTTGCAATCCAGAATTTTATCTCTTGCAACGCAATTTAAGTAATTGTGTTGCACCTTATCTATGCCACACATGGTTCTCCACTTATCTTTGAGATCAGCTGGGATACAGGTTGGATGAAACACATGACGACCAAAGTCTAAGATCTTCCTCCAAGGCATATTTTTGTTAGCCGTTGCTGAGAATTTATGAATATCTTCCTCTTCAGTGCTCCACATTAATTAATTTTTTGTCTTCCATTTGGAAATTGTGTTGTCCTGCAGTAGCAATGAAATAAGTTCACATCAGAAGCAATGAAGTAAAGAGAACATAGAAAAGGAGTATAAAAATATTTATATTAGAAATAATTTGCACTGTAAAAGGGATTTAAATATTATTATGTAGGAATAATATGTGCACATAAAAGTAAGTTATCTTCTCTACTCTCTAAGCTAGTAGCTTAATACTCACTGCCATGTTGAATACTCACTGCTATTCATGAGGCTTTGGTTTCTAGATTTCTTTCAAAGACATCAAAACCAGAGTATAAAATGGATGTAAGCATACAGTACATTGAATATCCAAAATTGCACTTGAGCCAAACAACATTTCCAGGTGACATTTTAGATGAGGGACATACCTCATCATCACTCATGAAGTCCAACTTCCGCACAAGGTACTTTTGGATTAAAAAAACTGGAATACTCCCATCCCTGCGAGAAAACAACCAAATAAAGACACAAGCCATCTTGAATCACTCAAGTCATACCATATGTCCATATCAATGAAAAAAGAGTCAGTATGTAACCAGGTTCCCTCATGCCCATTTTATAACAACCAAAAGTGAAGAAAAATGATTTTTACAGCTTTCTTAGCAACATCCTTTTCAGCATCACAATGTCAAAGTGGCATACTAGCATCAATCATAATTATTAATTAATTAATTAATCAAAAATAAAGCTAAAATCAAATAGTAAAAATTAAACAGTAGAGATTAATACTTTAATTTTTAACCTTTTCAAAATGAAGTCTAGAAACAATCTCTTCAGAAAAACAACATCACCGAATGAGCATCATTAATTAAGCATTACAATTAGTATCATTAGTCATTACGCACTAAGCACTGTAATTAGCAGTACACACTCACATAATGATTTGAAATTGACAGATTGCTAATTACCAGTAAATAGAACATATTGCAACACAAATTAAAGAAAAAGAAAGAGGAACCAGAGTAGTTAGCTACGGAGGTGGTGGCTAACTTATTGGATAACCAAATACAAATTAATGAAGAAAAATATAACAGTCATATTTACAAGATGTTATCTGCAAAAGAGAGAGAGGTACAGACGTACAATAGTTGGAGCCTGGGCGTGGCAACGGTGGCTACGACGGTGAGGATTTGAGGGGGAGGCGCGATGGTGGAGACCGTGGCTACGACAGCGAGAATACGAGGGAGAGGCTGTGGATAGGAATTTGAGCTGTCGTCCGATAGCTATGGCGGTCTTGAGATTGAGGTCATGGATGCTAATCTGCAATGGAGGCAGCTACATAGCTTATGGCTATGGAGGTGGTGGCTGCGAGGAAGAAGCTACGAAGGTGGAGGCTACGGCGGCGGTTACGGAGGTTACAGAGGTTGTGGTGGTTGCGGCTCACTCGAGACTGGAGACAAATTCATTTGAAGAAATATAGAAAGAAGCAAACCTAAATAAAAGAGATTGCCTTAATGTTCATAATTATTAAGAAAAAACAAAGCACTGCCGTTTTGAAGTAAAAATTAAAAACACAATTGCGACGGAATAAATTCCGTCGTTATTCCATCGCAATATTTATTAATTTACAAAAAAATTCTTTGTTTCGCGACGGAAAGTAAATCCATCGCCTTTTCCATCGCTAAATAGACGACGTAACTTACACCCGTCGCAAATTTCGTCGTGAATATTTTGCCGCCAAGATTTCGCGGATTTTATTTTTCCTTTGCGCCAAAAATCGCGACGGAATTAATTTCCGTCGCGAATTCCGTAGTTAATTTACAACGGAAAGTATTCCGTCGCAATTTCCGTTGCTATATTGCGACGGAAAAGTTTCCGTCGCGATATTCCGTCGCGATTCGGGATTTTTCTTGTAGTGATTATACTCTCTGATGGGAGCTGAGTGTCATTGAATTACCTAGCTTCAATTCAGGATGGCAAATAATTGTTTACATATAATGAATCATGGTGCATCAAATGGTACATTATATATAATTATATTTGTAGTTTCATCTTTTTTAGGTACGATAAAATTTTGAAAGCATAATATCACATGCACCTACTAGAACAATATCGAACTTTACAAATATTAAAAACTCAAATACGGCACATTATACATATAGTAATGATAGTATTTATCATACAATACGTTAAAATACACACAACTAGTGTCATGTGTACATATTACAACATACAATTGTTGCTCTGTGACAAAATGACTCAAGTCATTTGTATGTATAGCAACATTTATTTATTTTTATTACATGATAGAATAAGATTTACAATATGATGCACTATTTTGATGGTATGAAAATAGTGCAGGATAAATATATATTTCCATTTAACTACCACACTTATATAGGCAGTAGCACTGGTGATTCTGACAATACCACTTGTGGCCCCCCTTGCCTTGGCACCAATTTTTGCACCTCATCGGAGGGCAGCTGCCGCCCCAACTTTTGTGTTTCATTCAATTCTTTGCTTCAACCATTTGTGTTTCTGTATTCATATATGATTTCACAAAAAACATCAATAATCCTCGCTAATAACAAATAACTTCGTACTAAAAGCATAGAAATAGAGAGAACTCAGCTCACCATATGATGCAATGAGGATGAAGCAGACAAGGAGAGCGACAAAAGTCACTTTGTTGAGTTTTGTAAGAACCATTTCGATCTTTTAATTTTCTTCTTCTTTTTGTTGTATGAGGAAGTGTGTTATGAAAATTTAGGTTGTGAAGAGGGTATTTATAGGAAGCTGAAATACTAGACATACATTATTGTTTAAATAAATAAGATGTCTTAATTAGTTGAATGGATCAAATAGCTTTTAATAGTCAGTAAATTCATATATTAAAATTGAAGGAAGAATCAAACATATTGTCGTTATGAAAGTAACAGCGCACAGCCCTATCCTTTTATGTTTTGAATATTATTAAAAATATTTAATTACTTTCAATAATCTTGAGGTATTTAATTGATTACAATATTGTGGTTCTAGTCAATGTAAAAGATTAAAAGTTTAATTTATTTTTATATTTGATTTCTATAATGTGAGATGCCCTTTAGGTACTTGATGATTTCTTAGGTATTTCTTGCCAAGAAGAGTTGTTAGTTAGTGGTGCATGTTTTGGGGTTGCCCCTCGTTTCCTCATATAAAAAAATTATTTAATAAATATTTGATTAATAATTAAAATAAATGTCCATTGCCAAGATAGTCAAAAATTAACCATAATAATTGGTTTGATAACTGCAAAGTTTTAAGTTTAACTTCTTGTTGAGGATATTTAGTCGCCTTTATAATTTGAACTGGTCAACTATGAGTAACTTAGATTGTTTTTACCTATCATTTGTCGACTAAAATCACAAAGCGAAATTTATCCAGAGCGTGCCTTTAGATACCAGTTAAAGGCTTTCCCATAAATCAAACTGTGATAACAAAATTAATAAATATTCATAGGACATTATTATTTTAGTCAATTAATTTAAGAGACTTTTTCTTGAATTAATTAATAATATCATTTCGTACGATCATTATATTATTCAAAGTGAGATTATAATCTATATCCAATTGTTGATTGCAAACTATTCATACTTATATATATATATATATATATATATATATATATATATATAATTGCTAATAACGATTAAAGGGACCTATATTTTTATTTACTTTTCTCGAATATTGAGTTGGACATAGTTCGTTGTTCAACAACCTAGTTCTCAAAAGACAATGATATTTATTCTACTACCTTGCCTACGCTCGCACATACAAAGGTAACTTTGACTATTACACAATTGATTAACAAATTAACGAATATATCCAATTATGTGATAATAAAAAACACAAAGGCTTGAGTATGAACTTCACCCTAAATCCAAAAATAAAATTTAAAAAACAAAACATTATTTTGGTCGCTCGTTGCACAAGATCTTTTTAGTGCGGGTGTTTACCTTTCCTGTGTGGTTTGTTGGTCCCGGTAGAGTTAGAACGAGAGTCTAGAGGGGAGGGGGGGGGGGGTGGGTGAATAGACTCTTCTCGATTTTTGGTAGATTGCAACCTTTCGGGGTTGTAGCGCAGCGGATAAGTTAAGTTGGTTTTAGTTGCTTTGCACAGTTTGAAATTTTAAGACAACTTTCGGTTTAGACGAATGATAATGCAATGCTGGAAAGTAAAGCACGAAAGTAAAAAGATAGAGAGACGAGAGTTTTTATAGTGGTTCGGCCAACTTTGCCTATTCCACTATTCTTCCACAACTTATGGAAGGTTTGCACTATCACTCGTTAGTACAAATACACACAAAAGCTTCCTTGATCACTAAGCCGGACAGCTTCCTATAGGTTTTTCAACTCCGCGAGTTTACTTCGCCTCTATAATGTCTTCTTCAGAGTAGAGGTTGGTAGAAAGAAATTTCTGATTTCTCCAACACGGTGAAGTCTTGACTGAATGATGGATGATAGCTTCGTACAAGTTGCAAGACTTCTTCAAGGTGGAAGATGAAGATTGATGAACTTCTTTAAGAAATCTTCACGCCTTGAAAACTGGTTCACAAAAGCTTGGTAATAATGTGAGCTCATACAAGAGTTTTTTCTTGAGAGTATTGATCGAGCGAAAAGAACCAGCACCTTCTAAGTTGATGAAAGTGGGTATTTATAGGTGTGGGAAATTTCATCCGTTGGAGGGAGATGAAATTTCAAACCTATTATCCAATGGGTAAGGACCGGGGAGCTTGGCGCAATAAATGCTCCATTAATGCGGTTTGTACCATGTAGCCGTTGTAGACATGAACAACCTTAGGGTTTTTGTCTTTTAGCTTCTGAAGTGTAGTACAACTTCATTTAATGCTCCTTGGTATATGTGTCCCACACTTTAAGGTCGTTTTTGTCCCCATGATGGTTGATAACCTGAGGTGATCTTTCGTTGTTGAGGCCTTTGATCTCGTGCTCTTTGTCTCTTCTCGCTTTGGTAGACCTAACTAAGGAACATAACTCGTTTTCGTGTGTTTGTCTAGCTTAACACGAATTACAAGATGAGTTATGGCAACTTTCGTCTATAACGAAAGCAGCGATGGAAATAACGAAAGTTAGGGGTCTACATTCTAAGTTACATTGGTATCATCAAAATCCTAATACAAGAGTTCCTAACAATTTCCCCCTTTTTGATGATGCCAAAACCTATACTCTTCTCATAAGGCTGGTAAATATCCCATAAAGGATTCTTTATTTCAAAACAACCATTATCGAGAGTTTACAAGTCATTTCTAAAGACAATACAAATTATTGACAAGACACTGACAATAACTTAGACAAAAGACACGAAAGATGTAACAACGAAGAATTCATATATAGATAAAACACTTACAAAAAGTTTAAGGAGAGCAGAATGTAAAGTATTTTACATTTCTAACAGTTTCGCCTTTAGCAGCTTGGCCTCCTTTAGTTCACGGTTGTCTCTTTCTCTTTGCTCCCTGAGCATTCTGTCACAATCAATATCTTCATTGATACGATCTCTGAAAACCTTGATTGGGTTCGTCTTGACTAGATCTTCATATTTTCCTTTGATGTTGAGACTTATGTAGTTGTTGTAAGCCTCGAGAATGTTTTCTCCTTCTACAATGCCTAATTTCCACCACGAGATGAGCTCGAAAGATTGCATTCCTTCTGTGTAGCTTTTTCCAGATTCGGCATGAATTTTAAAAGCTGCATTGTATATGACTCCTGGTTCCGATTCCTTGGTCACTTTCGTGACATCTTTGATTAGCTCCTTTACTCGTTCTCTTTCCCGAAGTTCGCGCTCTCTTTCTAGTGCTTCCTTTTCATGCTTGTCCCATAACTCTCTGTTAGTTCTCTTTATCCTTTCGTTTTGAGAGCTTATGTGGTATTGCCTTGTACAGTTATCTTTTGTCTTCATCCAGATAGGAACATTGCATCCTTCGAAACGTTTTCCGCTTCCTTCTTCATAAGGCTTAAAATCAACAAAATTTCCCACACCGTCCATTGTTACAGTTTTATCTCTCATAAGCTTTTTCCTGAGGTTCTTCCTTTCTCTCTTAGAAAGTCCACTGAATATGTATTTAGATTTAGAACCAAAAGATTGGCGAGGCTTGATAGAGTGACTTCGGGATTGTGACGGTTGATGATCACGAGACGCATGATGTCTTGATTGTGAAGGTTGGTGATCACGAGACTTGGAAGCTGGAGGTGGAGGCAGAGATTTTATGCTTATTCTTTCAGAGTCTCTTTGTGTATCCCTATGATGATCATCATCCTTATCATCAGGATTCCTCTTTTCCCCCTTTTTGGCATCATCAACACATGTAGTAAGAGCTGGGGGAGACAAATTGCTAATAGCAATCAAGATGTCTTGCACATATCCAAGGATATGGAGCGAATACTGGCCCATTTGATATGAGTTATCGTGTGCAGTCTCAATCTTCGTGCATGCCAAATCAACTCTCTCTTTGAGACTGTAATGAGAGTGCTTGATTTCATGCTGTTGACATGCCACCTTGTTCACAGCAGTTTGAAGCTCATGAAGTTCTTCTGCCAATTGAGCTTTATAAGATCTTTTCGGTTGAGCTGACGACTGCGGTTGAGGTTGAGCTTGAGGTGGAGGACGAGATTGAGCTTGAGCAGCCATAAGTTGGTCTACTTTCTTGGATAATTCTTCTAAGGTTTGGGAATCCTTGCGGCGAAGGGAAAGATATTCTTGGTGAATAACTTCGGCTGTATGAACCGTGCCCATCATTAGGTTCATGATGCGGCGTGGAGACATTGGTGGAGAATCGACTTCGATGTTTGTGGGCAAAGTATCCATTGGTTCCTCACGAGGTGGTGCATCCTTTTTGCCACCACTGGCTGAGCAGATAAGAATAGATGAGGTATCCAGATTTCCCTCACGAATTGTAGCATCTTCTCGCTTGATTGGAGATTTGTCCATGTGATCAACATGGGGGACGATAGCACGAGATAAGTCTTCAATAGGTGCATTTGAAATTTCTTCAGCATGAGGAATTATAATCCGAGGGGAGGCTTCAACCAATCCACGTGCTATGGAGTTCTCAGGCCTAGGTGATGCTTCCCTTTTGCCATCACTTTTTTAGGATGAATGTTGAGATGAGGTTCTTTCGGGTAAAGGATGTAACACCCCCCTAAAAACAGGCTAGTTAAAAACCTTAAACATGCAGATAACACAACTAAACAACAAACATAGCGGAAGACCAAAAGGTAACTGGATAAACATAAATCCAAGTCATAGGGTGTTATGCCACGTTCACCAACAAGGATGAACGCTACGGCAATATCTGCATTGTTTACAACTATCCAAAGTCTCAAAAGTCTAAAACTAGAGCGGCACACAGGCCATAGAACAAACGGGAGAAGCTATGCTAACAGGCACAAGACTGCGCACTCGCCTAGACATCACCTGAAAGAACACAATAAAACATGGGACGACGCCCGGTCAGCGAATAATGCTGGTAACCCACCAATACATGTGAAATAACATACATAAGTAAGATATAAGTTGTAAAGCCATTTTCGAAACGGAATACATAAGTATATAATTACAAAACCAAGATCAATAGTCAACACAAGACTCAACGTAACACTCTCAACAAGGATACGGGAACACATCCCAAAACCACAAAGGATAACCACAACACAAAAGATAAAGACAAGACCGATGGCAACACATGCCCTTGTGACTACACACGTCAC